TATTCTTTAGAATATTCATCAGTCTAATAATATTCTGAATATTCAGATTATAATCAATGCCCGATAACATTCAGAGTATTCAAATTATAATCAATTTCTGATAATTCTCAGAATATTCATTTCATCAATGTCAAATAATATTATAATCAGTTTCCAATTATATTTGGAGTATTCCAATTATAATCAATGTCTAATAATATTCAGAATATCCAGATTATAATCAGTGTCCAATAATATTCTGAGTATTCCAATTAGAATCAATGTCTATTAATAATCAGACTCCTCAAATATAATCAATGTTTAATATTTCTTTGAATATTCATATGAATGTCAAATAATATTTCTTTGAATATTCAACTTATCAATGTCAAATAATATTCAGATTACAATTAATATCCGTGATGGTTACGGCCCTGAAATCTTCTCCATGAAAATACCCATGCCGAAAAGAAACTATGTTACCACACCTATAAAATATATATAATAGCCACAAAGTGGATGCAAACAAAGCTGAAACTAAAATATGAATCGTGAAAGTAAAAATAAACCAATAGAGTACAGCTGCAACACCCTGACTCAGGAAATGTGAAGCTTTTTGGCCATTTGCGCAGCCATTTATCCATTAGATGTGTATGAGTATTTCATGCTCATAAAGATTCTGCTAGGTTTGAATGGGCTATTTATAGCAAGCCAATTACGTAGTTTATCGAACGTAACCCCTTCCCACAGATCTCGCCCAGAATTCAAAACACCGCGATACCACGCTGCTCGCTCGCTACACTACACTAGGCTGTTCGCGCTGAATGTATATGAAGCTGTAGACAAGTGTGTCGCGGCACATGGCGATGGCGCACACAACTGCCGACATCTTGAGAGAAAAAGGTAACTGTGTGCATGTATCGTGCATTGAATCAAAACCAGTCATGCTCAGTTATGTCATCGAGTGACTAACCCCGTCCAACGCTTGATACAGGCGACACGGATGCTCGCTCAGATTACAGTCTGATAAGCATGCGATCTTGTCAGATGAATATATATCGGTAACAACTGATCAAAAGAAAAGGGTTGCGTCAAAATGATTATGACGGAGCGCTACGCAAAAATAAGGGGAATACAGGTGCTCCGTGCTCGTACCCCATCAGAGTACTGAAGACAGGAGTAGAGGGTCACTGGAGAACGGAGGGTGTAGCCTATTCGGAATAATGAACTACAATATGGACCGCAAAATCTGCTTGCATTTGTTCTAAAAATATATGAAAAATTATTAGTTGTCTTATATTTCTGTTATTGCTACCATTGTAATAATATCAATGAACATAGTACTAAATAGTATAATGTGACAATTTAGTAATAATAAAAATAATAAATGTTAATATTAGCACTATGAAAATTACTGTCACACCTGTAGACATCAACGTAGAGCGATATTACCAATTTGGAAAAGCTCACATTTTATAGTCTTTGAAGTGGCCAGACTAAAACTTTACGCGTGTTTAAATGTACGAAACATTCTAGAACTGCTTAGTTCCCTACGCGAATTATAACACTGTGCTTCTCATCTACAAACACACAAATAACTGTGCAGGTTACTTCAGCTACATTGAACACGGGACCAGGAATTAGTTTCCTTTTGTCCTTCGCCCTCTTGTTTTTATTCTTACGCTCTTTAATGTTTACAAACCTACAGTATAATATTAGGACACGCGCATAGTAAGTGATACAAGTGCAGCGCGAAGGTGCGTCGGTACTTAACTATTTACACAGGTGCTGGAGACACAGGTCGAGACATTCCCCCTCCACCTCGTCCTCCGAGACGAGGTCCGACAAGGGGCGCATAGGTAGAGGTACGTCCTCCTGGAGAGGTGGTCTCATCTCCCGCAAGAAGAGCTCCAAGAACCTCTTGAAGGTTTTCTCCTCGTTGGCAGAGCCGGCCATCGCTTCTCATTCCTGGAGAGACCAGAGACAGCTGGAGCCGGGCAAGAAGTCTACACTACTTTGAATCATAGGCTGGAGCGACTCGCGCGAGTTGGGGAGGGCGCGCGCTCGCGTGAACGGAGAGGGATTCGCGCAACAGACATGCGTGACGTCACATGGGGGCGGGGGGGCGAATTAACCTTATCATTAACCCATTTAATCCCATATATTTGTGACGGAAATTTACTCTTGACTTTAAAGGTTCTAAACTGATGATGTAGTGTATTTTACATAGAACGTTTTATTTACACGGTGTAAATAGTCACGTGACGCATGTGGAAAGTCATGTCATAATACAGACACACTATCATGATACATATTTGAACGTATTATTAATGTATTATTCAGATTGTTCTGTCTTATGTAAATCATAGTAGGCCTATGTAAACATGTCGCAATTGTGACCAGTGGAAAACCCAGAGACCCTCTGTAGTTTCCCACCAGACTGGAAAAAAAAGTTCTTTTAGAAATGGCAAGCAGTTTGTTTGGCAAATCCGAGGAGCAATTACGTAAAAAGTATAATATTCCAGTACTGACTGACCACATAAATAGCCTACATGTGGTTACATTATTTTGCAGAGCTAATACTTTAAACATTTTTATATAAAGTAACCTAATCTGCAAAGTTATTTTAATACATTTTGTAATTTTAAAAGCTTTAAATTACATTTTTAATTTTATAATTTAATCAATGTACCTTTTTACATTTCATCTAGGCATTTGTGCACGTGCTGTGTTCTGTATTTCTCTATGCGCAAAAAGAGAATAATGTGTATTGAGGGGGAAAAACACATAAAAAGGTGCACGTCCGGATTATATTCAAAACAGTGATAGTGTAAGAATATCAGTTTTTGGTATAAATAACTTTCCAGTAGACGTTGGTCCATGATACGCGCGATAAACCAACCTTTTTTTGCCACATCAAAGCTGCGTGAAAGTATGACGTCGGCCGAGCACATACCTGTGACCAGTGTTGGGAGTAACGCATTACAAAAGTAATAATATTACGCAATAAACTACATTTTAGCATTTTAGAATGCCTAGTCATAAGTCTGTGGATATTTTGGTGAAAGTAACTCAAAAGTAACTCAAAAGTAGTGTAACGCATTACAATTCAGAGACAGTAATATTGTAATGTAACTAATTACTTTTAAAAGACAGTAACTAGTAATATATAATGTATTACATTTTGGAAGTAACTTGCCCAACACTGCCTGTGACGTAACCAGCCTATGCTTCATGTTTAATGCTGCGTTTGGTTTTGTCGGCATGTTTAAGAGCAAGGTCCTCATTTGTCACACCTTCAAGTCAGTTTCAACGTTATCTCGCAGTTTTTACGGATCATAACCCTTTCCTGCCAAAGCTGAAATAATTAGGCTACTTAATGGCCATACTACATACTGGTGTTCTTAATGGCCCCAATATCAATACAATCAAAACTGTCACTGTGAGAACTGGTGGCTATCCCTCGGAAATTTGATGCACATTAGGTTATTATTAAAATCTAATTAGGCTACTAATAATCTACTGTGAGACTGTGATTCAGACGCCGTGCGAAACAATTATTTAATCGTTTAATCGAAAATGCCACGGTTTACTTCGACAGAGCTCTTAGAGAGATTGTTTATGAGTGTGAAAACTCGATAAGTGATGCTCTGTGTGCCTGTATATAGGACATCAGAGCTTAAGCTAAAAATAACTGATGTAGATTTCATATCATCGCTGGGAATTAACTGTTCCGCTCCCAGACATTGTTAGTTCAGCTGCGGGTTGCCAGATATTATTAACCCCTAAAAATTAAAATGACAGAAAAAAATCTAACCTTCTTATATGAGTAAGTGAGTAAGTGAGTAAGTGAAGTGACATGTGGCCAAGTATGGTGACCCATACTCGGAATTAGTGCTCTGCATTTATCCCATCCAAAGTGCACACACACAGCAGTGAACACACACATACACCGTGAACACACACCCGGAGCAGTGGGCAGCCATTTTTTTTGCTGCGGCGCCCGGGGAGCAGTTGGGGTTCGGTGCCTTGCTCAAGGGCACCTCAGTATGGCCTCAAAGATATCCTATATTTATTGTGGTTTTAGGACATGCCTAGTTAGTTCAACAGGGGGTTGCTAGATCATCTTAAAAGCAAAATTAACCCTTTCAAGTATGCATTAGCCTCTTAAGACCCGGCAAAACATTTTAGGAAAAAGTTTGTATTTGTTCATGTCATTACATTGTTTAGAGCATTAAAAAAAATGTAAAAAATAAAAATGATATTTCATTCATAAGTTATGCTACGTCCTTGGTAGAGGACATCGGGACTCAATTTCTTTAAAAAAAATATAATAATATATAATATTTCATAGAATATTGAAATATATTTTCTTTCCCTATTCATTTGTTGTGTCTCCCAAAATGCGTAATAAACATGCTTTTAGTCCCGGTGTCCTCATATGAGGACATGTATGAAATCAACGTCCTGTTTCGTAACAAAAAGTCATATTTTGATTTGGAACCCCATAACATTTCCCTGAGATGTTGATTTATGACACACAGTTTAAAAATTAGTCAGATTTAAATGATGATTACAACATATTATCATATTTCCATAAGAGTGTCACTAAATTGTGGCATATATAGTCTCAGAGAAATTCACTAAAATATAATGTCCTCATATGAGGATGCAGGGTCTCAGGAGGTTAGTGTAAATATTTTCAAACTAAATATTATTGTTAGACAGCTATAGCTGAGACATTATTATTATTATTAGTTCAAATGTGGGCTGCCAGATACTATCATTAACCATTAAAATGACAGGAAACAATCTAAAATCTTCTAAGCATTTTGAAGGATTATGGTTTTAGAATGAACCCTTCCATAAATGTACTAGTGTAAATATTTTCACACAACTTACAGCTATTACTGAGGAATTCAAATGACAGAAAAACCTTATGAGCTTTGTGAAACACTGGAAGCTGATCCCATATTTATCAAGTTCAGAATTAGCATTATTAGAATGACTGGATAATTTCAAACTCAGTATTAACCTTTTCAGAAATGTAGGGTAACCATAGTTTATGGTGAAATATCATAGTTACCACAGCTATTGCTAGGTAACGAAATGTCAGAAAAATTATGAAAGCTACTATGGTATTTCGAAACTGGTTACCATGGTGCATATTTGTAAAGAACAAAGTATAGCCTTGCCTGTATAGAGCAATCTGAAACTGTATTCATAGTCAGCTAGTAACCTGTCATGTTCACCTTCAAAATGATAAATCATATGGTAAAGCGATGTCTGATGCAGTGACCCAGGATGACAGTTTCATAGCAGTGTAGAAATACCCAGTGTACCTTCCTCCTCACCTGAAAAAGCCTGAGGCCAAGTGCTTGTTAGGACACAACTAAACAGTCACTCATCTAAAACCAGCCCCAGATGATCTAATCTTATTAGTCCAGCACTCCGTCTCAGGCAGTTCTTCAATCATGATCTCTTCCTGTGTCTAACATGGAGGTTAAAAACATCAAGAACACAATGTCGCCTTCTTTCCACATGAGCATAAAGCATTTAAGTCAGTTCTTCTGCAGGGTGTCTAAACTATCCATCGCCAGCCAAGGAAATATGAGGTGAAGTGCTCATATTTTATCTTCGTGCTGATGTAATGCTGGCTTCCCAGTGTATAATTCAATTAAAGTGATGAACCTCACACATATACGCTGGAAGAGAACGAACCTGGATGATATACTAATATTGAACTGGCACAATCTGCGGCTAAATTATTAATGTTACTTGGAGGTGAATGTGAGCGGTAAACTCTTTATCTCTATACTGTCACTCATGCATAAATCAAGGCAGAAAGTCATCCTGATATGACCTGTACAACACAATGTACACAACAAATCCTTCTCACTGGGTTCATTAGGGCCAAATTATTCAATTGACTATTACAAATTTAGTTAATTGCATATCATGGCACAAATTTTGGGCCTGTGTAAATTAGGTGACATGATTAACGATGATTAGTTTGACTAATCACTAGCACTTGAAGTGGCAGAAAAACAATTTTGCATATATTAAATACAGAATATTAGTAAAGCGGTGGGAAATAATGCACACCAACTTTTAATAGTTTGATAAATATATGGCCTTTAACCTGGTCCGTCATCCAATTTTCGTTAGAAAGTTTTGGTCACTTTGGAATAGGTTTGGCATTTTCAGTCTTTCCTCCTAAATTGTAACACTGTCTCACTGTCTGGTGGGAAATTTATATTGGATCCACTAATTGATCCACTAATATCACAATAAAATAAATAACTAAGGGCCAACAATCAATATACTATAATTTATTCAATAATAATCCAAGAACTAATTGTCCTTAATTGTGTTTTTATATAATATATACATATCTGTACATTCCTGCTATGATGTTTCCTTGTTTTTTTTCTCAGCATATTTCAAGTTTTGAAGTAGGAATACTGCTTTGAAAACCAAAATGGTCTGCAATACATCCTCAAGACAGATCCTCCATTCGAGGGCGTTTGCTGTGGTTTCCTGAAGGAGATGAGACTGCAGATGAATCAGGAGTAGTTCTGGGTTCATCTGGGGCATCCCTAAAACCCTGGACCTGTGTGAGATCACAAATGTATATATATGCATATTATTACAGGGTTATTATATTTAACTAAAATTAAAACCATTGAAACGTCATGTACTTAAATTACTTAAACGTTAACCAAAATAAAATAAAATGTAACTTAAATTTGTTTTATTTCATCTAGTTGCCAAAGCAATATTTTGTTTAATTTAACTTTTAATTGAATTAACTGAAGTACTAACTAACTAAATTTAAACTAAAACTAATAAATAAAAAAAAATAATAAAAAGGCATATTTAAAATAAAAATATCAAAAACACAACAAAATTACTAAAACTTTAAAAAATTAAAGTGAAAACAGAAAATTAAAATCTAATTCAAAATATTAACAAAAACTATAATAGTATATCAATAACACTAAAATAACATTACTGTATATATTTATTATATATTTTATTTTCCTTACATTTTTCTTTATACATTTATATATACACACACATTCCTGTGATTAACACCTTTATACATTTTTCTTACATAACATATTTTGTCCTTACATTTTCCCCACTGTTACTCTTAAACTTACTGTAATCTGATATTGAATTGTGGCCTCCATTTGACTTGGGGACTTGTACAAGGAGGCGAGCCTAAACAGAGTGGACAGGTGAGAAAAGCATTAAAAAAAAATTGTTTTTTCGTTGCACAGTGCACAATCTCTCCCTCTCTGACCTTGTCTGCTCGGTTTAAAAAGCAAGAGGGTCTGTGGCAATTCAAATGCAGGGAGGCTGAACTGTACAGCCAGCGGGAAGACCTTCAACTTTATGGCAAGAGACGAGAAAGCATGATGGAGATGCTCTCTGTGCCTTTCTGCTGCCTGCTGCTACAGAGTAATAGACTGGCAAGTATGCAGGATGCATTATGAATAAGGTCTGGCTACAAAAGGCAAAGCAAGCTACTTGTTCAAAGTGATTCATTCCATCACCCACGGAGGTGAAGGGTAAAGAGTTTATGCAGCATGCACTCTCTCTCTCTCTCTCTCTCTAGAAGATAAATTTGGCTGAGAACACCACAGATGTTGGCTTCTATTTTCTAAAGCCACATTTTGCTGTGTCAGGTTGAGTGGACTTAAAAGACTAAATCCAATATAAAAAAAAACACAAACACCCTCCCACACAAATAGCAAATTAAAAGTGTCTGTGTTTACCTTCGCAGTCCCTCCCAGTGCAGGATGAGCCTCTGCGTCGCAGCATGACCCCAACTCTCACCTGAGGTGTGAATTTTAATTGTTATTAGGTTGGTGAATATGCAAAACAATACAATACATGAATGTATTCATATCTGTTATGTCTTACCTAATGCAGGAACCAGCTTAGATTGGCCATTTGAAACCCTTGTCGTCATCTGATTGGTCAAAACAACCTAAGAGCACATGATAACTGAACGTAATTATTTTTTATTAAAAAATTATATATATTCTTAATATTTATTTTTCATATATTCTTTTATACAGTTTAGATATTCTTAATATTATGTATACATTTATATATAACATACATACAAACATACATATATATATATATATATATATATATATACATAGACCAGTGTTATTTTAGCATTATTGATGTACTATTACAGTTTTTGTAAATATTTTGAGTTAGATTTTAATTTTATATCTTCTGTTTTTATTTCTGTTTTTTTTATTATAAAGTTTTTGTAATTTTGTTGTGTTTTTGATATTTTATTAGTTATTTTTTTTATGCCTGTATAGTTTGTATTATTTTTATTAGTTTTAATTTGAGTTAGTTCTTAAATTAATTAAATTACAAGTTAAATTAAACGGAAATGAGAAATATTGCCTTAAGTTGTTTATATATTTCATATTTTTAACAAATATTATTTTATTTTAATTTAATTATTATTAATTTAACAAAATGTGAGTATTCAAAAATAATTAATCAAATCTTATATATATCCTAATCAAATATCCTGAACAAATACACACACACATGTAATATTAAATTATTTTTTATTAAATATTAGATATTTTTATTTAACCAAATATAAGTATTCTGCAAAAAATAAATAATTAAATTGATTTGTCTGCCATTCATTATTCTGTTTCAGTAGTAAGAGTTGCTAAATACCGCTAAACTATGTTGTGTTGCTAGTTGGATAAGCTGCTGGGCAAGGCCATTCAGGAGGCGGGTCCTCTGAGAAAGATCCTCAAAGTCATGCCGGAATGGGAAGGCGATGCTGTCAATCACTACTAACCTCACCTGTGATTGGATGATACAACAACATGTCATTTATAAGCATGTAATTAGCAGTATTGTAATATCACATTGCTGAAAGAGATGTCCTTAAGCAGCGGTCCTGATTATTCATTTTCACCTCGGGATGCTCAGAAAGGAAGTCAGGTAGGAGGTAAACCTCAGCTAACAGCTCTACATAGTCATGGCAACGGACCAAGAAGAGGTTGGAGAGGATCTTCTCAACAGTAAGTTCCTCTAAAGCCTGTCTCTGTTCTAAGAGGAAAAGCAACGACAGATTATTTAACAATTAAACATTTTGTGTCTCATAAATTAGCATGAAACTATAGGTAAACAGTATTAGGCCTGTAGAGCTCATAAAGCATTTTCTACTGAATATATGTACATTTAGACATCCCAACATCTCAGCTACTCAAATCAGACCTGTATCCTCTGCCAGGAGGGTGCAGTGCTGCACGGCTGCCTCCGCCATATCAGCAACCCGCTGCACTAAGAAACTCCCTTCTGTGTCTATATACAGTGCCTTTCCTCCCAGACCTCCAAAACACACAGGAATCTGCACATCCACAGCCAGCTGCATGCTAAAAACGGGAAAAACAACTCATGTGAAAATTACAAAGACATCTTAGGGCACATACCACTTTTGAAATATATGTGCCACATATTACCAAAACGTTGAATTTATGATGCATTGTACAATTTATAATTGATTTCCTCCCATACCACAGCTGAGTCTTTCCGACACCAGGGGACCCGCAGATCTCGGTGGTCTTTCCCACAGGCACGCCCCCTCCGAGGGCATCATCCAGGGCCGAGCAGAATGTCACAATGCTCCCCAGAGCCTGCTCCTGGTGCAGGAGATCCAGAGCTGTTAGGCTCTCTGTTGCCGCCCTCTGCTGGTGAGGCTGGCCGTCATCCCTCAACACCTGCAACACCTCCACTGCCTCCTCCTGTGATATACCTGCCTCTGTGACCAGCACGGATTTAACATAATGTACTTTTCTAGTAATCTGTGACTCTTGTGAGGCGGTAAGAAAGGTACTTCTGTGCTATTTTCAAATCCAAAAAATACTTTGTTGATGGGTAAATACCTTTGCAGAGCTGAAGAGGACGCATGTCGGTCAAGTCTGACGCCACTTGGAAACCCGCATTGATGAGCTTCACCTTCATTGAGGGCGCCAGTGGGAGGCTGGGCACAGTCCTGTGCATTTTACTGTTGACACTGACAAAAACCAGGCTGAAATGCCGCTTATGTCGGTACGTTACTATGCCAGTTTAGGACAGATGACAGCTAATTCTAGCCATATAAAATAGCCTTATTTGGGTGGACACATTCAGAGTCACTCTTTGAAGGATTTACTATCGATAGAATATTTTTGTGAAATAAAAATTAGATTTTAAAATATAAACATACGTGGACTTACGTTTCTTCTTCTTCTTCTTCTTCTTCTGGTGTTTTATGGCGGTTTGGCAAACCAGCCAAAAAGGTGCATTACCGCCACCTACTGATCTGGAGTGTGGAGTGTGCATAAATTTGGAAGAAAGAAATACAGAAGGGGAAAAAAAAAAAGAAAAAAAAAATTTAAATAAATTTTTTTTTTTTATTAATGAAAATTAATTAATACAATTAAAAAATAAAATTAAATAAAAAAGGGACAAAAATTCCTAGA